GGGCGGCGGGGAGCTCCGGCCCCCCCGCTCCCGCCCAGCCCGTGTCTTGTGTTGCAGGCACAACAGCTGGGAGCCCGAGGAGAACATCCTCGATCCAAGACTCCTCCTCGCTTTCCAAAAGAAGTGAGCAAACTATAAATATTTCTAAGCAAACGATAAAGTCAATTAACTTCTAATTGGCTGCGCGTGCGGTGGAAGCGATGGAAACAACAGGCTGAAGCTCGCCGTGCCTTTTGTGGCACAGCCCTTTTGTTCATCTCCTGAAATTACAGTTCGGGTCCACCTAGGAAGTCTCTCCCGGGGCTGGGTAAACACGGGGAATTTACGGCCCCGTGCACAATCAGGGTTTGCGCTGGCTGTACCACGGGCGCGCGGCAGCGCCCAGCACAGCCCTTCGGCTCTCGTCCCCCGGCCAGCGGTCGGGGCCTCGCTGTGCTTGGGGGTGACTGCAGGCCCCGGTGGGGAGACGGCGCCTGGGACTGCAGGAACGGCTCGGAGGGCACCGAAATGTGCCTGTGGGGGGCACGGCTGCAAGAGGGGCGAGGAAGTAACGGGTGGGAGAAAATGGTGTCCTCTGTCCGGGCTGGGGCTACTGCCCGGGGCCGAGCGGGGGCTGGCAATTGGTCTGCAGCTATTCTGCACCAGGCGTCACGCACGGAGGTAAAAAAGTAGCCAGCTGGCTACGGCAAGCACAGCGCTGCCAAGTATTTGGGCTCCACAGTAATAAAAATCATTAAAGTTTATGATAGGATTTAATTATAACTCGTTTCTGGATCCATTTTTTCAAGAATGGAATCTGGTGGTGAGTGCAGACAGCGCGGGGGTTGATTAGCCGTAGGTATTGCAGCTTAACGCTGTCCTGTGTAAACGGAGAACCACGAAGCAGTCTGGTGATCCAAAACCCCTCCCCACGCGATCACCTCGGGCTTTGCGTGGCTGCCAGCCTGGGCCACCACATCCCGACCAGGAGGTGCAGGAGAGGTGAAATGAGCCCAGCGAAGGTGAGAACTTGCAGAGTTTCCAGGGGACGCATTTGCTTTCCCTCCGCACGGAGGCTGTACCGCTCGCTGTGAGCAGAGGGGAAGCTCAGCTCTGCCAGGCCAGGCTTAGCTGAGACGGGGCAGATGCTTTGGTTTGCCTGATGCCGCTGTAGCAGAAAAGCTGCAAATCTCACCATGAATTGGAAGAGCCACCGACTCGGGATGAGATCATGCCGTGCGGTCCATCGCTGACCGCTGGAAGCTTCTTACCGTGGGGATCTTACTGGAGCAAACAGGGATGCAGGCAGGGATGCAGGCAGGGATGCAGGCAGGGATGCTCTCCCTCCCCTCGGTTCCCCCGGGCGCGAGCAGAGCTGGGAGCCGCTCTCAGGGCAGCATTACAAAACTCGGTGCCTCTCTTTGGAAGGCCTGGGACTGGCACCAGTGGGACAAAGGGACCAGGACTGGGGTAACCAGCAGGCAGAGGATTTTGGCTCTGTGAGCAGTTTGCTAAATACATTTCAGCCATCCGTGCAGGGCAATCCCAGGCTGTGTGCAAGGGTTTTTCTTTCCTTTAACCTCTCCTCCAGGAAATCAGGGCAGATGCCTGCTGCGGCGCCAGCTGGGTACCCTGACATCCAGAGAGCTGTCCTTGTTCTAAGGCCACAATTTTTCTAACCCTTTCCTCACTTTGTAGTTCTTTTTCTTGCATTGCATCGCATTCGTGGCGTGAGTCTTCCAGGGACCTGTGCTGTTCCCACAGGGTAAATGGTCCGGGTGCCAGGGCGGGGAGGTTGAACTGCACAAGCCCCCGGGTTTCCGTACAGTTCTTGGGGCTCTTTGACCGCCCTTGAGTGCGGTGTGCCCCCAACAGCGTGGGCTCAAGTAAGTGATGTGCTCGGAGCCTGCAAGATCGTCCCATGTCGGTAGGGGTGAAGGACACCTCCCAGCCGCTGCTCAGGCACTGGGACGGGAGCTGAGCCAACAGCATCCTGGGGGGGTGGGGGTGGTACTGACAGAAGAAAGGGAGGAACCTGGATGATTTTTGATGTTTGTTTCTTCCCTGCAAACATTGTCTTTCATCGTTGTTTTTTCAGGGAACACGAAAAAGAAGTGCAGAATC